AAACTAACACTATTCGATTCATCTCAGTGAGACAATTCTAATAAGCTATGGTATATCTTTGTACAATTATTAGATGCTAAATTATTTAATATATTTTCTATATAACTGTGATTATAAATGGTTCTTTTTAATATAAGATTTTTGAGGATAAGTGTGATAGTGACTATAGATAGATTGTGATTATATAGGAAATAAAGTATTTTGAACATTCAACTGGTGTGACTATATAGTAGAATGTGACTATAATAGGAGTAACTATAGAGGGAGTTGACTGTACTATTATTTCTATTTTTTACATTATTAAGTGATTCATTTGATAAAAATGCTAAAATAACCTTCCAAATATGCTAAATTACGTAAATATATTGTATATATATATGTTGTACCTCAGATCGATTCTTGCCTCAGATCAAAGCTCACGCACCTCAAATTGAAATTGTCATCTTACGCATCTCATTTGAATCATGCAATAAAGTCTGTTATAAGTAACCACTTTTTGTAACATATTCAAACTTATGTAGTGTGTACCATAATGAGTTATACGCAGTGTTGTCACGGGACAATGTCCGGGACATGTTACACAAAAAAGAAATGATAACCCCTCAAAATTTTACTATGATAACCTTGTTCAATACTTAGCAAAAATGTTTAGCATCCAATTATGCATAAATATATATAATTTTTGTAGAGTTTTTTAAGTTACAGAAGAGTACGGACAGAGCGCGGACATGTCCGGGACAACCAAAAAAGCTGCGGACATCAAAAATGTACAACACTGGTTATACGTTTCCTGAAATTTTTATGTAAATCTGATTTATATTGAAATTTATACTTGTGTTTATCTTAAAAATCATTAAATTTTAAGTCATTTTCAAATGAAAAGTTTTTTATGAGTATAATTCCAACTATTTTAAAATTTTAAAATTGTATACTTAAAATTATAATGAATAAGTTTACTTAGTACTTAAAAATACATTAAAGTTTGAAAATTTGATGTTTAATTATAGCTCATTTTATTAGTAATCGAGGTGCGTCAGGTGACAATCTCAATCTAAGATGCGTGAGTTTCAATTTGAGGCAAGAATCGATCTGAGGCACAACATATATATAGAATTCTGCTTATTTATAATAAATATCATTATATAAAATTGACCTTTTACTAATGATTTTTACCTTACTTTTTTCTTAAATTCTATTTATTAGTTAATTAACTAAAAAGGAAAAAAATCATAACAATGTAATATAAAATTTTCTTTTATAATAAGATCTGCAAAGAATTTTATATATGATTTTTATTTTAGGTCTGAAAATGACCTATCTTATAAGTAAGAAATTTATATATATATATATATATTTATATTTTTTTTTTGATTTTTTATAAAGTAAGAATATAAAATATATAACTGACTTTTCTCTAAAATCAGTAGACCTTTAATCAAAAAATATACATGAACTATTATGAATAACTATTTGGTAACAAAGACTTATTTTTATTGCATTACCCACTTGTATTTTCTTTTCTGGTATATTCTCTAATAATTTAAGAAATTGCAAGTAATTATAATGTTCAATAGCTTGTATTTCTAACACACTTTTCTCCTTGCAATAACTTAAATATCTGAATAATGTCTAATTTTCAGTATCAAAGTAGCTATACATAAAAAAGCTTTATAAGTATTTTAACTATTAAAATTTCTATATTAACTATTATATATTTTAAATTATTTTTTTTGTCTATGATAAAAATAAAAATTGCATTTACTGAAAATTTATTAAAAAAGTTGTGGTATTTTTATATTTTTTTATATTAACAAATTCATAAGTAAAATAAATAGTATTATTAATATCAAACTCAGATTATATCAAATTCAATCAATATGATACTGTAGAGTTTAATTAAATTATTATATTTTTATATATACTTTATAAAAAACCTTAAATTTGGTATAAATCTATTAACTGCCTATTATAAAAATTTTAATATCAAAAAAAATTTTTAAACTATATTATATAAAAAATTTTACTTAAAAATTTTAAATATATTTAAAAATAATTTGAATTTATAAATATTAATTATTTAATTTAATATAATTTGTTTATATAGTATATAAACTTAATATTAATAAAGTATATTATAAATCATTAAAAAAAAAAAAATAAATTGTTAAAATTTAATATAAAAAGAATATTATATAATATATATAAGTTTTTTAATTAGTTTTTAATTAATTATATAAAATTTGAATATATAATTATTTATCGCAATTTTCAGAATTCTGTGTATGTTGTGATGATTGAATAATTATGATTGCAGGACAATTACAGGATAATTACAGGATAACATTGTCCAATTTTTGTCCAGTAATCGTTCTGTAATCTAATAATTTTTTTATTTAATGGTCTATAGGAGATAGCACAATTTTGAAAAGTGCGATAATTGCAAATTTTATAATTTGTATAAAAAAATTATTTAATTTAAATAAAAAATTATTAAAAATACTATTTGAATAGTTTATATAAAATAAAAATAATGTAAAATTATACTTAGGTAATTAGTTTTAAATTATGAGTTTTGCTAACTTGCCTTTTAGGTTAAATAACCTGGATTAAATTACTTTCCTAAAATTTATATTTTTTTTTTTAAAAAAAAAATTGGTACAGTTCACCCTCGCTATAGTGAATTTTTATATAGTGAATAATTTGCTATAGTAAAGAAAAGCTCAGGTACGAATTTTCTATATAAATAATAATTCTTAATACAGTTCACCTTCGCTATAGTGAATCCCTTACTATAGTGAATCTTAACCTTCAGCCCATGAGCTTCACTATAGCGAGGGTGAACTGTATTATGATTTATTTATTATTTTACCTTGTATAGATTTTATTTATTTGGATATTATAGAGTATAATAACCAATTTTTCTTATATTTTTAACAATGTTTCTTATTTTTATTGTAATCATAATTTACATTTTTTTTTTGAAAATTTGGGCAAAATTATATAATTATATAGAATTTATTAATTGGTTAAATCACCCAAGTTAAATCACTCTGGATTAAAATTAGTCTTATACTTTCATTTAAATTAATTTAAAAAAATAGTAATTTACTTAATTTTTTATATAAAATAATATAAAAACATTAGTATTATTTAATGTATTTTTAATTAAAGATTTCAAAAATAAGGTTGACTAGTTTTAGTTTAATAAAAAATAGATTTGGTATATATAAGATAGTATTATTATAGCTAGTTTTAACTATTAAAAAAAGTAGTTTCAGATAGTAATATTAATTTACTGGATTTAAATATATTTGTTTTGATTTCTAATTACAGTATTAATTATAAAAATCTAACAGTCACTGGTCATTTCAGCAAAATTGGTGGTGAGATTTTTTGTACTATGATATTATAATAAAAATTCTTAATATGATACAGTCTTTAGGTATATAATATTTATTTAATATTTAAATTCGGCTAAATTAGTTTGATTAGTTAAAATTCATTAATTTTTAAATTATAATTCTGGCCAAAATTTTCTTAATTCCGGCCAGATTCATAATGCCGGCCTAAATTTTGTTAAAATCGGAATTTTCAGGTCAAAGGTAACACCATATTTATGCAATGTAATACTTTTTTCAACAATAGTAAACATGTTTGTTCAAGGTTTGAAAAATATTTTTAAACCTTTTAAAAGTCAAAAACTTCACTTTATTCAGTTGCATCTGGCCAGTAAAGGTTGTCAATTATATGGTTATTTTAATATAGCAATCTAATAAAGTATTAAGAAAACTATTTTAACTTTTTTCTTTTGCTTATTTTTTTTTAAATATATTATAAATATCTTTTATTTTAACATTACTTTAGATATAAAAAAAACATTTTACTTATTCATATTATACTATTTGTATTTATGGTTTAACAAGGTATGCAAACCTAATATCCAATTTGAATTTTTCTATAAATAAATAATTTTTGCTTTATTTTCTTGTTAAATGAACTAAAATTTAAAAATTTTAAAGTTTTTTTTAATAAATTACAAAAATTTACATGATTACTACAATACCAATATTTAAGCATTAAAGGTCTAATATAGATAAACAAAAAAAACATTATATTTTGACTAGTTTTGCGATTTAAAATTATTTATGACACCCAAATAGACCTAATAATATTATTCTAATAAAAAAAAATTCTTATTAGTGTCCTAATTAAAAAATTTTAACAAAATTTATAAATAACAAAAAATCTGGTATAATAATCACCCTTCTAAGCTTAACAAAAGTTGTTTGTTTCGCCAAATTATGGCTAGAAATAAAATAATTAATGGTTAAAAAAAGCTTTTGCTAAAAGTTTTATTGAAATCAAAAAAAATTTTTTTATTATAAAAATTAACTTTTTGCGGTTTACACAAAAACTACCTAAATAACTATCTTTTTCAACTTAGTAAATCTTTTTCTTCTCGTAAAATTACATATATTTTTATCATTTAAACTGTATTTTACATTTACTTTTAAGTTGCATCTGGAGGAAAACTTCATTTTTGAGACGAACTATGCAAAAAAAAAAATTATTATTACTAAAGAGGAAATGATGATGAAAATTTATAATACACATGACGAACTATTAATTTACTTAATTTGTATAAGCGTTGTATTAAGAATTTCTTTTTTTAGCTACATGATGGAATATTCAATTATGGTTACACAAAATTATTTTAATTAATGATCAGCAAGTGATCTGAAATGACCGCTGACTGCTAAATAACTTATAAAAATTATATAATTTTTTATTTTTTATAATTTTATTTATTTATTTCTTGTATTATTATATACAAGTTCTTAATAAAATATAGTTATTACACTGGATCAATTAAAAAAAATTCATTATTCTATTATTTAATATTATTAAGTTTTAAAAAAGTATCAAATTTGCAGCATATTAATTTGTAAATGTATTAAAAGTCAAAAAATTCTATTATAATATATTATATATAGGATTTTACTTATAATAAACTAGTTTATTAAGGTAGGATCTATGTAGGAAAATTAAAAAATCTAAATTTTAAATTTATGAGGTAAAATTTCTTATAAATTAAAAAAGTAATTGGTTTTTTATATAACTGCCAATTTCTTAATGTAGATTAAATTTGGTAACTTCTTAAATAATTACTATGCAAAGATATAAAATAATATATACAATATGTAAATTTTTTGAATAAAATTTTTTAATATACAAAAAAATACTGTTATGAAGAAATCGTATTATACAAAAGAGTCTTATTGTGCAAAATATAAAAAGAGTAAAATAAAAATGTTAAATTACCGATGAGGAAACATGACGTATCCCCCTCGGATCATTTCTCTTCGGATTTTTTGGAGAGGTGTGAGTTTTTGGTAGCCTAAGAATTTTAAGTTTCATAAATATATAAATACAATAATCAGTTAAAAAAACGTATAATTACCCGAAGGCTTCCTTTTTGGCTCACGAGGGGCGACCAGCAGCATCTTTACTTGACGTGCCTCTTTTTTGGCTTTCTCATTTGCCATTGCTCTTCTCAAGTTGCCTATGATACGTTCCTTTTTTTCCTTTTCTTTATCAATAATATTCTTTTATTTAACAAGAAAAAAAATATAGTTAGTCATAAAGTAATAAATAGTAAATAATAATTCAGCATAATATTTACCAGATATATCATTCGATAATCCTCAGGATTATCTGGAAACGGCTGATCTGGAAGCTTTTGCTGTAAGAAACGTTTCCAAAGTTCTATATTAATTATAATTACATTAATTAGTCATAAATATGCCAGCCAACTCTCCATAAATGCACCTCCTATAAATGCACTCTCGTTTTAAATGCACGGTTTGCTCAATCCCAAGTTTTTATAATTCCAATTATTTTACTTTTACAAACGCACGCCTCATGTGTAATTTTTATAATCCGTGCATTTAAAGAGAGAGTTGATAGTACATACCCATATCTTCATTAATAAGACGCTATAGGATCAGTTAGTTATTAGTTATTAGTTATTTAAAAAAGGCAATATCAACCTTAGAACAATAAGATAACTTACAGAATTTACTTCTTCCAATTGTCGTAATTCTTCGTCAGTACAGAACTTTAAAATTGGCTCAAGCAAGTGGTACGGCGTATCTCCCAATTTATAAAGCCCTAATTAGAAAATAGAAGAGTTTGAGTGTATTTTAAGAATAATATAAATTATTAATGACCATACTTACGATGTTTATTTGAAACCAATGTCATTGTACATAATTGCACCAATGACTTGACCCCATTACTTTTTGAAGATCCTGATGAAACAATATTTTGTATATTACTATTAACTTGCGGTGCTGGTCTGTTGGGCAAATTTATTTTCGTCGAAAATTCTTTTTGTTTCCGAATTGTTGGAATAGCAATCTTAATTAATTTATTGTTGCCGATTTCTCCATCTCCAGAATGTTTACGCTTATTGGAAACTTTTGCCAATTGATGGTCCGTATCGAGTAAGGATATTTCCATCGGCCTTTGCACAGTTGAACCGCTACTTGATGCATACGATTCTGTAAATTTAACTGATGTTACTCTATTTTCATTCACATGTATTAGTGCTTTGCTTGTAGGTTTTGATGAAGATTCCTTATTGCTATGGTCGATCGCTTTATCATTTCCGAACATTGAAGCTCTATTTACTTGTTCCGTTGACCGAACAGGTATTTCTTTACCTGACTGAAAAGAAAGTGTTTGCAAATTTAAACTATTAGATACTCCGGTCGATACATTGGTTGAATATTGCGATTCCATAGTATTTTCGTTACTTTGGGCCGATTTTTTAGATCGACCGTTTAAATTTTCCAAAAATGTTTGTACAACCCACTTTGATTTTTCTTTATGCTCTCTCATATCTTTTGTTTTATAAAATTTAAGTGGTTCTTTATATTGAACATCGGCTGTCGCATAACTCAAGTCTTCTAGAACTTTGGTAGGCTTGTTTTTATTGTTATGCGCTAATTTTTGCGTAGTGGTTGTCTTTGCTGATTGAAAAGAAGTTGATTTTGAAGTCGCCGATTTTGCAAATGCTGTATCTATGTATCGAGTAGAGTTTAGCGGTACTGTCGGTCGATCAGAGGCTAAAGGCTGAACAATAGTTTTTATAACAGCTGATTGTAAATTCGATTCTGTAGATGTTGTCCCTGCAGGTAAAACAGAAGGTGACGATCGACTAGAGACTTTCGAATTGGAATATTTTTTTTGAGGCCTGTTGTTTAAATTTTCCCAGAATGTTTTTACGGCCATTTTTGACTTTTCTTCATGTTCTCTCATGTCTTTTGTTTTATAAAATTTGAGCGGTTCATTGAATACAAAACGTTTCTGAATTAAGCCTTGATCATGAGTTTGAACCGTAGCAGTTGATTGTGAAGGTATTGATTGTGACGTTTTTAAAGAAGAGCCCGCTCTTGTAGGCATCTTAGAATTTTGTTCCATATTTAAATGTTTGCTTTCAATATCTTAGAACAATAAGGCAATAAAGGTTGAAATAGAAATATCCAAAAGAATCTATAAAGTTGTTAAATAAATGTTAAAAAACGCATGATTTCTATAATAACTTTATATTAAATGTTACTTGCTTAAACATAGAATATCTTTTAGTTTTTACGTGTACCGGTGCTGATACTTCAACTTTTCAGTAATAAAAATACTTTTTACCTTACCTAGACATCAACAATTACTGGCGACAGTCTCCGGAAATTTTAAGCATTTAAAGCTGTGAAAGAAACGGGAAGTTGTCTTGTAGCCTTTTTATATATGCATACTGGAATTTGTGTAACATACATAATTAAAGCAATTAAATTTTCATCTCCTATTATAGACAAAATTTTTTGGCTAGATTTTTCCTACTAACATATAAACATACTTAAAGCTGGCCAAAACTAAAGTCGAATGAGGTGCTACGTTACATAGTTACACAGATTCAAACTTTCATCATTTCCATTTTTGAATGTGCATATAGATCACGTGGATATACCTTTGGAATTACGTAGAATTACGTCCGAACTTACAGTGGCCGGAAGTTGAAAAATTTTTGTTGAAAAAAAAATCAATAGGCCCTAATAGAGGTAATACAATAGTGATTCATTCTTGATCAGCATTAATAAAACATTTTGCGGTTCCGACTTATCAGACTTGGGAAAATATATTAAATATTTTCTTTCTATAATCTTCATACCCACACACTCTTCTGCAAAAAGTTCAAGTTTTGCAAAGTAAAAGCTCCTCTTAACCTCAAAATTTCTAAGAAGACAAATATTAACAATGACTGGTCGTGGTAAAGGAGGTAAAGGACTTGGAAAAGGAGGCGCTAAGCGCCATCGTAAAATCCTTCGTGATAACATTCAAGGTATCACCAAGCCTGCCATCCGTCGTCTTGCTCGTCGTGGTGGAGTAAAACGTATCTCGGGTCTCATCTACGAAGAAACTCGTGGTGTCTTGAAAGTGTTCCTTGAAAACGTAATTCGAGTGCGTATAATAATAAATATTATAAATATTTTGAACCTTTTTATAGATTCTTTATTTTCTTTATTTATTAATAATTATGGATTACTAACAATTTTCTTTTCTTTACAGGACGCCGTCACCTATACTGAACACGCCAAGCGTAAGACCGTCACGTCTCTTGACGTTGGTAAATATTTGCTTTGGTTTATTTTAATTGATTGTATATGTTTTCCGTTCGCTTTATAATATTCCTCCCGAAAATTGTTTATTAATTAATGGTCGTTCATTCATTTAATAGTATATGCTCTTAAACGACAAGGACGTACTCTCTACGGTTTCGGTGGATAAATGTACTCTTTTTCATCTACCTTGCAAGGATTTTTATATGATAAAGGCGGAATTAACTGTTTTTCTTTTACTCATTGTTTTATATGGTCACATGAATCAGCAAGAGAAAATTTTAAAAAAAATTTTATGTATATAGGGAAATTTTATTTCTCCAAATTCTTGTTTTTTTTCTTTTCAGTACCCTGTTAACAACTTTCACCTATAGACTAGAGAGATGTTAATGGAATAAATAAAATATATTTCAAATCATTTGCTCTTTTATAATTGAAGTATATGTTTAAGATTATACTCTTAATCATTAAATCTTTTGAATTTGCTAATATGTTTAATTGACAACGCATGTCATATAGGTAATACAGCGATCTTTGCATTATTCTAATTTCTCATAATGCTTTGTAATTTCTATTAGTTTCCTGTGATTTTATAAGCTAAACACACATTTAAATTTGAAACATCTAAATTTTTTAATAAAAGATATAATTAAGGAAATGGTTTTTTACTATTAAATTTTTATTTTTATTTCGAGGTGAACAGGGATCAACGAAAGACTGCATGGAAACTTGGAAAAAAACAAGAATCGCAGAGTAGTAGTACGTCAAAAAAAATGATACACCACCAACCTGCCATCAAAGAGGAACCAAAAGTAAAAAATAATACAAAAAATCACGTGAATCATTATTCTGGCTAAAATATGGCATTAATCATCAATTTCAAATGCTAGCAGAGTAGTAATTTGACAATTTTATAATTTTTTACGTAAAAATATTTTAAGCGTAACAACCAAGGATTACGAAATTCGTTTAATTATTACTGATCATTCGAATTTAATGCGTTGTTTATTTTATTATACAGTAAGAGCTTTTTTTTAAAAAAAAATGGTTTATTGCTGACTTGAAGTAAAATCTGTCAATGTAACAGAAACAGCTGAAATCAGAACAAGATTTATTTATTTTTATAAGAATAATGATCACATTTGTAATAATAACACACAAAACACAGATAATAACTGAACAATTGATTATAATTTAAAGAACTTTTAAGAATCGTATTTTATTTGTTTTACAAAAATTTATAAACATTCAAAATTTTTTTTTTTGATAAAATTATTACAAATTGTAAAAAAAAGGTTAAAGGTTTTAAAACCTTCACTGACCACCACGGAGACGGAGGACGAGGTGAAGAGTTGATTCTTTTTGGATGTTATAATCCGAAAGAGTACGACCATCTTCCAATTGCTTACCAGCGAAAATCAAACGTTGCTGATCTGGAGGGATACCCTCTTTATCTTGAATTTTGGTTTTAACCTGATCAATGGTATCAGATGATTCGACCTCAAGGGTAATCGTCTTACCAGTAAGTGTTTTTACAAAAATTTGCATACCACCACGAAGACGAAGCACCAAATGAAGTGTTGACTCTTTTTGAATATTGTAGTCAGAAAGGGTTCGTCCATCCTCAAGTTGTTTACCGGCGAAAATGAGACGTTGCTGATCTGGGGGAATACCTTCTTTGTCTTGAATCTTTGCTTTTACTTGATCGATGGTATCGGAAGACTCAACTTCCAAAGTAATGGTTTTTCCAGTTAGAGTTTTAACAAAAATTTGCATACCGCCACGAAGACGGAGAACGAGATGAAGAGTGGATTCTTTTTGAATATTGTAGTCGGAAAGGGTTCGTCCATCCTCAAGTTGTTTACCAGCGAAAATGAGACGTTGCTGGTCTGGGGGGATACCCTCCTTATCTTGAATTTTGGTTTTTACTTGGTCGATGGTATCCGAGGACTCTACGTCCAAGGTGATGGTTTTGCCGGTGAGTGTCTTTACGAAGATTTGCATACCTCCGCGAAGTCGAAGTACTAGATGAAGAGTTGACTCTTTTTGAATGTTATAATCTGAAAGGGTACGACCGTCTTCAAGTTGTTTGCCAGCGAAAATAAGACGTTGCTGGTCTGGGGGAATTCCTTCTTTGTCTTGAATTTTTGCTTTAACTTGGTCAATAGTGTCGGAAGATTCAACTTCAAGGGTGATTGTCTTTCCGGTAAGGGTTTTAACGAAGATTTGCATGATTGTTAATTATTAATTAAATACAACAAAAAATTTTTTTGATATTATTTGGTAATTTGTAAATATAAAAATAAAAAAAAGAATTCTTTCAAAAGTTTTTTTTTTTGTTGCGAGGAAACTTCAAACCAAGCCCCTTTTATATTATTTAATTTGTTTTACTAAGCACTATTCCAGATTATACTCACACTATCTCTTTGTCAGATTCATTCAGTTTATGTTTATTTCCAGATCAGGAAAAGCCAATAATAATTTTAACAAAGAAAATGTTTCACTAAATGACCTGCTGATTTTTTTGTATAATAAATGCTTTTGTGACTCATCAAGTTTTTAACTTTTTTCTAGAATTGATAGGAACCAACCGGAATTTAGTCTCCTTATATGTTAATGAAATTCGGAGTTTGACGTTCGCTTATTTGAATGAGCCGTATACATTCAGTTATAGAAAAATTATGTAATGTTTATTTAATGAACGAATATGTTTTTGTGGCTTTTAACAAAGGAGGTTATTTAACAATCATGTATAGTGACACATTATGCAGTCAGCCCTCGACGTTAACAAAGAATTTGGTGCATATCACGTGATTGCAAATTTGAATTCAATGAGGGTAATAAAATGGTTATTATGCAAATTTATACAATTCAATTATTTTAATTATATCATTCCAAATTACCAATATATTTTATTTAGATAAAAGCAAATATATAGAGCATAGAAAAGCTCACACCAAAAATATCAACAATTTAAAATTAAATATATCATTCAATATAAGCAATAAGAAGTATTATTAAATTATATTAGAATATTATTTCCAATAATAAATTTAAGATTTGCCAATTAAAAATTAACTATATTTTTTTATTGTATATAAATGTTTAATAAAAATCCAATTTCTTTACTAAATATTCAATGTATTTTCATATAATCTAATTAGTTAAATATATTGTTATACTTATATATTATTTTACATATTATCACCATTTTCTTTTTAGTGTAATCTAGCTAAAATAATAATTAAAAGATGAATTTTAGAAATCTGTGATTACTAAAATTTTATTGTATTTTTAGGTAAAGAAGATGCAAATAAAAGCCAAAAATGCAATAAAATTTTAGTAATCATGGGTTTCTAAAATTCATCTTTTTTTATTATTATTTTAACTAAATCACACTAAAAAGAAAATGGTAATAAACTATATTTTTTAAATATATTAAAATACAAAGAATTTGTTTTTCAAAAATTATAAATCACACTACTGGTATTCAAATTACAGTTATATGTATTAATTATTTTTTTATTTTTATTTTTATTTTTTAATTATAGCATATTTATGAATTATTAAATAAAAATAGTAATACAAAATAAATAAAAAGGACTATTACTTTAATCTAATATTATTAATTTATAAACCACTTATCATATTATATATTTAAATACTCATGTATATACTATTGAATGATTTATTATGCTAAACAGGTAAACATATATATAATAGGTTATCTTAGCCAAAGATTCTGTAATCTTTGAAAAAGTGATTATGGGATCTACATTTTTTTATTTATCATATAATTTTTTTATTATCCCTTAAACTGTAAGCAATTGCAGGCAAATTTGCCCGCAATTTTACCAAATTTCAGCTCTCATCTAATTTTATGAAAAATAAAGCAATTTTAATAAAATTTTTTTCCAAGATAGTTTAAATTATATATTGTGCAGCAATTATTATCATTTATTAATTATATATTAGAAAATCGAAAATTACCCATTGGTCAAAAGTTGTATTTTAAGATAATCACAAAATTTTAAAAAACTTTGCACTTAACTTCGACGATTTCATTGATAATTAATTGTAGCTATATAAAAGCTTAATAGAATATGTAGAATTTGGTATGAGAAACGACTTTTGTTAATATGATTTTTGATATTTAAAAGTAGGATTTTGACTTTATATAGAACCTGTCTCTTATACACATCTAGATGTGTATAAGAGACAGCATCAGCCGTTCCTTTCGTTTTAAAAAAAAATCATTATTTTTTTTCCCGTTCATTTTGTTTTTTAAAAAAAATTTTTTTTTTGGCCGTTCCTTTCGTTTCTTTTTAAAAAAAAATTATTTTGTTTTTTTTCCCCCATCAGCCGTTCCTTTCGTTTAAAATTATTTTTTTTTTTTGATTTTTTTTTGTTTTTTTTGGTCCTTTCGTTTAAAAAAAAAACTTTTTTTTTTATTTTTTTCGGTCCCTTTGTTTAAAAAAAAATCCTTTTTTTTTTGTTTCTTCCTTTATTAAAAAAATTTTTTTTTTAACTCCCGTTTCTTTTTTATTTTTTCTCTAACAAATAAAAAAAAAGAAACAATGAAAATGAAAAAAGACTCACCCGTGGGAACTGATCAAAACGGAAACTATATGCAGATTACCAAGGTACTACTGTATTTCGGGGATCATTCGAGGATTTTTTTGGCCCGCTGATGAAATGCACCATTTTAAGACCTCTATATGGTATGCCTGTCTCTTATACACATCTAGATGTGTATAAGAGACATATTATATACTTTACATATATTTTCTTAGTTTTTCAATTTTTTTTTTTATTTTGCAATATTTGTGATATAAAAAAAAAAAGTACTAAATAAACTTTTTCTGGCCATTTTCAGAGGTATTAAACAATTTTAATTAGAGTGACTTCTTTAATTTAAGCTATATATAGTTTTTATGAAAACATATATTATGGTATTAAGTACTAGTAGTGTGATTTATAACTCCTTGTTTTCAAATATTTTTTAATGTTAAATAATATATGACATTTTTTAATATAGTATATTTTCTTTCAAAATTTTTTAAAATATATAAATGTCATACAAATTGATTCATGACATAATATAACTTTAATTAATTCTAAAGAATAAAAATATTTTCTGTAAATAATTTTTAGATTTTAAAGATTTTTTTATTTTAATTAAAATAACAAGAGCTATTAATTAAAATAAAAATCTTAAAATCAGATTACTAAATTATGAAATAATATTTTTAGAGTTTAAATTAAGTTCAAATTATCGCACTTTTCAAAATTGTGCTGGTGATATTTAGCAATATCCAATAATATAAACATTAAATATATAATCTATATATTTAAAAACACTGCAATCACGTGGGCGTTATGTTTAGACTACCCACATAAATAACCATTTACAATTGTGTGACCACATCGTGCGATCTTGATATTTATATATATAATAACGCGTCAAAAATAATTACGCGTTTAGTTTTTATTTTTTCTTTCTCCTTTTTCTTTGGTATTGAAGAAAAAAAAAGCGCACGAAAAAGAGAGAACTTTTTTTTTAATAATTTTTTTTTTCATATAATTTTTTTTTTTCATATCATTTCCTTTCTCTTTTTCTTTAGGTATTGAAGAAAAAAAAAAGAAAAAAAAGCGCAGTGAAAAAATGAAAAAGAGAACCAAAGGAACAAAAAGAAAGAAATAAACAAAAAGAAAGAAGGAAAAGAAATACACAAAAAGAAAGAAGGAAAAGAAATAAACAAAAAGAAAGAAGGAAAAGAAATACACAAAAAGAAAGAAGGAAAAGAAATAAACAAAAAGAAAGAAGAAAAGAAAAAGAAGTTAGAAATGAATTTAGAAAACGAAAAAGAAAACAAAAAAAAAGAAAAGAACCCACCTAAACCGAAATGCCAAAGCGCCAAAGTCTGTCTCTTATACACATCTAGATGTGTATAAGAGACAGCATTAAAGGTATCTAATGTAAAGCTGCCCTCAATTCCACCTAATGTTCTAATTTGACGATGCTTCTTGATTGAAGGTGGAGATGTTATTTTTTGGAGATAATTTAAAATACTATCATGTCGCACCTAATATGATATAAATGATTGATTAATTTTATATAATAAATTAATAGTTACGGTATGATAATTGAACTATACCAAATTAATTATTTGTGAAGTTGCATCCCGCCGATTGGACATTCTATATGGAGCTTTAATATAAAATTTATGTAACGACTCATAAGTTTCAGTCGTGAAACCATTAATTGCACCATAGTTTCGTATAGCATCAATAATGTGATGTTGCCAATTGTGTAGTTTTGGGTATTTCATTTCAGTATCTGCAATTGGTGTAAATAAATTAATAAATTTATTTGCCCAATCAATAATCATTTTCTAAAATAATAGATCAAAGAATATTAATAAAATACTTATAATTATATATTTTAAAATTTTATAATGTACCTGAAAGTTATCAAGTTCTGAATCTGTAAAAGTATCCTTACGGCTAAAAATATACATTCTATTCCAGGATACAAATAAATCTACAAGCTTAGAATCATGTTGTTTTGCTTGAAATAAACTTAAATTTGATTTGCGTTTTGCAACAATTAGACCATCAATAACAAAGACCAATTGTTTCATCATATTTCGAAATTCTGCTGCTGTAAAACGTGCAATATTACCAAGACCACTCTTAAAAATCTTTAGCTCGGGAAAACGTGGGATCTTTGCCAAA